TCTACTACAAAAGTTCTGGATAAAATATTTAAACATGTTGCCTCTTACGGCCTTTAAAGTTTATTCAAAATAAACTGTAAATCTCACTTTGGTGGAACAAATCAGACGAAGGCCCCTGGCTGCGTTTCTGTCAGGAGAGACATGCACAAATAGTTTGAAACCACAAACTTAATTGATTTATCCTTTTGTGTTAAATCTGAATCTGCAGAGTAAACAGCTGTCAGATGAACGTAGTGTCAGTAAAACCACAAAATCTCTAAAACGTAGTAGCATACTGAGACTGTGTGTGTGTGTTTTCTTTTAGTCCGCCTTGGCCTGGGCCAGAGCTCCTGCAGCCGTGCTCAACTTTAACTGCTTGCTGATCTTGCTGCCGGTGTGCAGGAACCTGCTGTCTCTGATCCGCGGCTCCTTCATGGTAATATCATGTAAATCACAAATCAAACCACGGAGCACTGCACTGATTATTAACTTTAAGGCGTTGTACAAACTAGTTTGACGGCTGTACCTAACACATCTGTGATGATTTCATATTGACATTACCTGTCTTTCTGCTGTATTTTTACATTTTATTTAAATATTTAACAGCATTCATTCTAATGTTTGAAAAGGTTAATTTTAATGTAAATCTATATTTTATTTTTCAGTATTAGATTCTACTGTAATCACCATCCAATCTCAGTGTGGGATGCTTTGTAAAATGGCTTTATAAGTAATGTTGTGATATTTATCAGCTTGATCTGTAACCAGTTAACTGGAAATGACTGTAAAATCCCCTCCAGGTTGAGTGACCTCACGTTATAAACCACTTTGGTATTAAACACAGGTTCTGTGGGTTTTCAGACCTGGTTGTTCCTTGCAAAATGTCTGAATTTCCACTTTCCTCACCTCCTTTATCTCGTCAGTGCTGCGGCAGAACTATGAGGAAGCAACTGGACAAGAATCTGAGTTTTCACAAGCTTGTGGCGTACATGATAGCACTGATGACAGGTGAGACGATGCATGCAAGGTTCAGTGTTCACTTCAGTGCATTTCAACAGTCAGCTTCAGCAAAAGAAGACAATGTTTGAGACAATGTGGCATTCAAGTCTTTGACCTCAGTTCATTTGTAAAAATAAAAACAAAAGTATGAAAGAGATATGAACAAATTAAAAAGTGCAAAGAAAAGTGTATTTTCTGCTCTGATATTCACTTTTAATGCTCGGCTCTGGTGTGTTTTTAAATTTAGATGGTTAATTGTTCAGAGATACTGAAAATTCTGACACAACATAACTTAAGTAAATGCCATGAACGGTTGCTGTGATGTCTGTCCCATTCTTGTGATATCGA